CGCCCTTTTAAGAACTGCTCGAAAAACATCCCGCTTTATATTAAAACTGGGAGAAAAATTCGAATGAAAAAACACCCCTTTTTGAAAGCCAATGAATCGGGGAGTAGACGGTATTATATAATATTACTATGAGCGACACTACCATATTCCAATGCAATAACCTTCAACAATTATAAGTTTACAAAAAAAGAAATGCCACTTTTCCTATTCTGAATTTTTAACCAGGAATTTCGAGGGACAAAAAAATATAACAGTATTTCAATTTCGGATTGAAATTGAAATTATTTGTGATTTCACAGAATGTGATGCTGTCAAAAAAAATCTTCTACGTGAAAATGGAACCGCTGGTGTAGTATGTCCATTTGTTCCGAGTGTTACGTGCAATTTTATTCTCAGACCGTTTCGGTTAAGACAGTGTCGTTCATTGATGTGATATTGATTGGTGGCGCTGTCTCTAGAGTACATGTAAATGAATCATGGGTTTCATGGCAAAATTAATTTATCGACTGAATTATTATAAAATATATTATTGCTCACCGCATTTGATGGGTCAGTAAATGAGAATGGAATCAAACGTTTTAAGATCGGACCATTTCGGCACTTACTCCCACTGTGGAGCTATTATTTTTTTGTTATCAGCACTAAAAACCACCGCCGTAATCCATGCTCAGCCTATTATAGTAGTCTGATATCCATGCAATTTCATTCCCATTAGCGCTTGCCGTCGATGTTTTTCAGTTGTCTTTTGCTGGTTTGAGGGCTTCAAGCGTCCATGCCATTCACCAAGTGCAGAATCGCCTGAGGTTGTCGTTTGGTGGCGTGCTAACGGAACCCCGAGCTGATCGAGCCAACCTCTGCGTGGCTGTAACTCACTGTTTTTGGCAAACCACGGGCAAACTGGTGAAGTTGACTTTTCAGAACTCAGAACCTCAGAACTCAGGACCTCAGAACCCAGAACTCAGAACATGGAGTGCGCCCCCAGACGAAGAAATTGGGGTTAATGAATAAATCGGTCGTTTTTGGCATCGGAAACGCAAGGGCGATAAGACTCTATTTTCAAGGACGCAGGTTGTTGGGATCGGACTGTTTCTTTTGTTTCGAGTTCGTTGTAAGTCTAGAAATGTAACAACATTGTTTTTTTAGTGAATACAGAATATGTTCTGTTTCAATACAGGATTTTGATATGCCAATCGGGCGATTTTAACAATTTCTTACAGGGGCGTCCCCTGTATAAATCGTCGTCTACTCTCCAAAAAATGACAATGGTACTAGTCCTGGATAGACTTTCTGTTCAGCGCGTCTTTGACTCTAGCAATGTTTACGCCACTGTACGAAAATACGCACACGCGCGAATTTGACAACACTCCCTTGAGCGTTGTAGGATAGTGGGAATAGAAGCAAATAGATGGAAATACCAGTTACATCACTCATGAAGATTGATGATTCGATTGCTGGCCGGGATAGATGTATTTAGTGTTCATTTCTATGCATATTGTCTACACCAGCGATTCTCAATTTCGATGTGTAAAATCATATCGCTGCTGTGGACGGCGACGGCTGACAAACTGTTTTGGTTCTGCGGCTCTCTTGGCATGGGGCAACTGATTTTTAGGTTGCTCTTTTGTTTTACTATTCTTACGTTTACTTGGTCGCATTGTCAGACACTAACAGTAAGTAAACGGGCCGGAACGTAGTCAACATGGGACTCGGAGAAAGTGTCATCGTACAACATTAATGAATGAAATTTACATTACAATCTCGTGCTTCCGAAAAATCTGACATTTAAGCACTAGTTCAAAATCAAATCGTTCGATTTTTGCGGCAGACGTTCGACGCGCGTCTTTCATGCATCTCGCGAGATCTCACAATTCTCGCGTTTCACAATAAAGTGCGCCCTCGGCGGATAACCTGGAAAGACGCATTTCTCACTTCCGGTGTCGACATCGCAATAATGGCGCCACCAGCGGAGAACGTTGAGAGGCTTATTTGTATGGCGGTCTTCTGTGACTTTAGTCGTCTGCGAGTCCCCGATTTAAAAAAATATTTAACTGATCGTCGTATACCATGTGCTGGGAAGAAGAAAAATGAGTTGGTTGAATTGGCACAAAAAGCAA